CCTGAGGGACAGCCTCTGTTTTCAAAATGAGAGCCAGTGGGATTTACCAATGAGTTCTGTTTACGAGCATCTTCTCCTTCAAGCCTGGACTCAAACCCCATTCTTTCAGCGAGGACCACCCTGACTTGGTTAAAATCCACCCAGACCCGTCCACCTCCCTTCCCATCCTCTTTTGTCTACTTTTGTCAAACTTTTCTTTTGCCCTCTGAATTTACCACTCTCTGATCTGCCATGTGATTAGTGTCTTGTCAAATTGTACAAGCCTGATGAGGGAGACACATCGTAGGCTCTCAGTACTTATCTGTTGAATGAATGTGTCTGTGTTTGCATGCCGTAACTGCGTACACAAAAAGCTGTGTGTTGTGCAGGATTGGGTGTATTCCAGAAACTCCTCAACAGTTTCTGCTACTTTCAGTTGGAAAGTTGTCACTGAACTTCAAAGTGACATTGAACTTCAAAAACTTGGACGTGGTGGTGAATGGGATTGTTTCTTTCCGGAGCTCTACCTGTCTCTAATGCAATGCACAGACCAAGGTCTCGGTCACTGATAAGTCTGAAGTCAGAACTTAGCTCTCAATTAAGACAGCCATGTAATTTGAATTGGTTGTGACTCCTTTGCCGTCTAGCACTTCATGACTTTGAATGTAAAAGACGAATGAACGCACATCAGAATTTCTCTGTGTGTGATGATACGTTAGTTTCTTTGGTTTTTGTTTGTTGGCTTTTGTTGTTCAGAAAGTGTAGTTAAACTTGGAGGAACCATAATCACCAAACTTTCCCTAGGGGGAGCTCCTTATGTGAACTGCTATTCTTTGACTTAAGAGCCTTTGTTATAAAGTAAATGTTTTGAATTAGAGAATTATTACATTTTTCCATTCGGTTACAAGTCTGGCCCCAAGCTATGAACTAAGAGGTCCTTTAAATTGCTTCACAGACTGTTCTGTGCGCAGTGGGGTGAGATGTGAGGGGGTTTTCCCTGAGTTCCTCTTCAGTTCCTGATCTGCTGCCTTCAGTTTTCAGATCTCTCTCTTTCCTCCTGGGTTGTATTTTTCTAACAGTGCCTTGATTTCCCTCCGGTTACAATTGTCTTTCCTCAGTCCAGAACTTAGTACGTTTGCGCTAAAGAGTCATCCAAATAATGTTTATTTAAAACTACTACCCAGGAAAGCTGTGGTGGAATTGTTAGATCCAGGCTGTGGGGAATGACTGCATTTAAAAGAGATTAAAGTGATTTGGGTAATGTATCTAATTTCTTCTTTGGAGTTGGGGAAGTTAAAGGGTTTTGTTTGTTTGGGTTGTATCAGCTAGATGCAAATGTGATCACGCTTCCCAAGACCCATACTGAGCGTAATAACTAGCAGGGGGTGAGGAGACAGGGCACCCTCATTTGCATAAAAATGCCACTAAGTCATCCCGCATAGCTCTCTGTCGATTCTATTCTAAAGCTGTGCTGCTTATGGGAGTTGGTCTGGGAGGCAGAGCCTGGGGGCGTGGTTGGGAAACAAAGGTTGCTTCCTTTCGCCTGTATTAGTTCATATCCCTTCCTCCCAGAGTGGACTGGAAAGTCACAGAACCAACATGGGGCTGCGCTCAGACTTACTGGATCCTGTAAAACAAAACCAACCAACCAAACAAACAAACAAAACGACCTGGATGTACACAGTGGCCTCATGAAAACGGGGGACCCATTTGTTTCCTTGTGATGTGACCTCCAGAAAGCAAACTCTGCCGTCTAATGGTGGAGGGCGGGCGGACAGGAGAAACTTCGAGAGTGTGAGGAGGAAGTGGAATGAATGGGCACTGAGGCAGGGAGCCTGACGCTGTGCTTATTATGCAAATGAAGACTGTGATTAGCTTTCTCTTCCGGTTGTCACTGGCTGCTCCTAGTCTTACAGATCAGGTTTCAGTGGGAGTTTTTCTGGTTCAAGGACTGCTAATGGTTTGTAACCACCTGACTGCCAACTTGACCTCGGAGCTCCAGCAGCTTAGGGAGACAGATGTCGAAGCACCGCAACCTGATGAAGAAAGTTAGAATCTGGAGCTGCAGAGCAGTTTGCCACCCACCTGCTGGACCCGGCTTCTATAGTGACTTCGAATTCTGAACCTATGTAGGTGCTGCAGGAAGAAAATGGTGGTCTTCATTAATGCAAAGCTTAAATCTTTCTTTAAACTTTTCAAGAAGAAAAGTAAGTTCTGGGGATCGTGTGTGTGTGTGTGTGTGTGTGTGTGTGTGTGTGTGTGTGTGTGTGTCCCCGTCTTTCTGAGTGCTGAAATCACAGTGAAAGAGCTTAATAGCCTTGAATTAATGTCCTCCGTATACTAGGTCACTGCAACGCCTTGGACAGTATTATGTGACCTTAATCTGTCTTATTTATTGATTTTGGGGTTTGAGTGACTTCATTTCTTTTATACTTCTCAAAAGAGTCCTTTAAGGAAGGGGAAAGTCTTTGTGTTGACTCTTTGCCTTGATATACAGTGTGTGGTTTCTGGGCGTTCAGCTGGATGAGCGGCTGAGGTAAGGAGTCGCTGTGTAATGTGTCACATAGTTCTGGGGCGAATGATCTTCTAAAGCCCCCTAGTACTCTCTGTTATGGATTTCAGAGCTCGAGGACAAACTGTCTAGACAGATCAGCGCCTGTCGTAAAGCAGCGAGCTTTTGTGTTGCGGCTTCATGTGGTGCGCTTCCTGTCAGTTTAAATTTCCTTAATCTCAGTGCTTCTTCATTCCCGTGAAAATTTAATTTTACAGTGACATGGATTTTTTTTTCTATTAACTTATATCAGTGTGGCTTTGTATTGCCTTTTGATCAGTGACAAGACCTGGATAAATGTGCGACGGAGGGTAGAGGCTGGGGGGCGGGGAGTGTCTCTGCTACCAGACATTGGAGAATGCAGGAAAGGACAATACTCCGGGCTCCTCTTCTGCACCTCTCTAGTTTGAAGCCTGTCTGTGGAGGGGATGATACAGATCTGCCCTGGCAGGAGGCAGGTACAGCAGGGAGGAGATGAGTGCTCTTTCAGAGGGGCCGGTTTGTGTCTGTGCCCTGGGGCTGATGGTACCATTACAGGGGCTCAGATACCATCACTTGGATTTGATTGGCAATGAGCATGAAGAGGGAAAGCTTCCATTTTCTGTCTAAGACAATCAAAATTTAAAAATAAATAGGCATTAGAAAAAAACCATTGTAGTGAATTCTGTGCGTACTTTGAGGGACCTCTGGCTGCTGGGAGCTGGGTGACTCTGAACCATACAGCAGAGTGAAGGCCACGCTTTAGGAGTTTATGTAATAAGGCTGATGGTATTAGGAACCATGCAGAACAATTTTCCAGTATGTAAGAGTAGGGGCCTAGTTTATATACTGCCTTTGTCAAACATCCTGAGCAGATAACAGCATTTCTGTTTGTAACTTATCTCTGGTTCTCCATGTTTGTTACCATTTGGCGATTTATGGAGAAAGGAACTCAACTCTTTTCAGATCCGAAGACTTTTAAAATATGGTAGCTATAGGAAAAAATTAGGAGAAGGGTGGGTTACAGGGGTAAGGGAGCCAGGCTAAGGAAGGCACAGTTCTTCCATGGGAGTAGTTCTGGGGGCTCCTTCAGAATTCATTGTCTCTGCCACAGCCTTGCTTTACACAAGTTATTTCATGAGCAGCCTTAGTCCATTTGGGCTGTCCTGTACTCCTAGGAACTATGCTATGGGGTATGCGTAGTTAATTTTAAGTATGTTCAAACAGAGTCATTAGTTCACGTTTCTTTTCATGTTCCGTTGAGATTGTGTTTTATGATCTAGTTCCCAGGCATACATTCTGTTGTTCTGGGCAACTGTCTGTTGTCGGGCACGGTCAGGGTAGACATGCTTCTGACTCACAATCCTAACGTCTGCTGGCTCTACATGAGTTAGGTTTACTACCCTGGGTAAGTGCCCAGTCCAGAGGCTTCCTTTTACATATGTCTAGTCTTTCCTAGGCATGAGTATGTGGCAGATATATAGAAAGTATCAAAGCATTGCTGATGAATGCATTTGGATGCTGTCGGCTTCATTTGAGGCTCCACTCATAGTCCAGCATAGGTTGTGTTGTTTGGAAAGATGAAATCAAAAGAAATCTCAATCCCTAGTTGGAGTGTAAGAAAATGATCCTAGAGATTCAACTTAGGCTCAGCATACCTGTTATTCCTCTCCCATCAAAGTTTTGGACTTTTTTGTCTTGGAAAAATTGAATTGAATTGGTTTGTGTTGGATAAAGTCAATTGCATTAGACATTTAAAAAAATTAACATGGAAGTATCCTGTGACCGCATAAATGAGAGAATTTTATAGTGCAGATGGTGTTCAAACTGAATACACTAAATTTTAAATTTTTTGCTTGCACTTAAACGATGGTATTTTTAAGTTATGCGGTAGAGGAGAGATGTTTCGTCCCCACCTAACAGTGGGGAATTTGTTTCTGGTTTGTTTAATGATGCAGCAGCATTGTCCAGTTGGAAAACTTGGGGTTGTGGTGTGTGAATAAGGAGGAATGGAAGGTCTCTGTCAATGTTGTCCATCATTCTAACACAGGAGCAGGAGCTGTGGTTCTGGAAAGCGGGGAGCTGAGCAAACATGTCTGTGAACGTACTGTGTGGTAGATAGACAGTTGGTTCTTTTTCTTTACAGATGTAGCCCAGTGGATTAACAAAACCACTGGAGCCTGAGGGGAAATCCCACTAGAGTTAGTTCCCTCGCTCCTGACCAGTTCCCACCTGTGGGAGAGGTTAAATACCACAATCTTACCTTTCTCCTGTTTTTGAAACAGGATCTCACTCAGTGTATTCCAGGCTGGTCTGGAACCCACTGTGTTACTCAGGCTGGGGTCAAACTGTTAGCAGACCTCCTGCCTCAGCCTCCCAATGCTTGGGACTAAAGGCCTGAGCTACCGTGACTGGTGGCTGAGAACCTCATCTTAAAGTAACAAATTCAGAGTCAACAGCTAACATGGGGACCTGTTCTTTTTCTCTGTAGCGGTTTCCAACCTAGACGAGGAGAGTCGATGGACAGTCCACTACACAGCACCGTGGCATCAGCAGGAGAATGTTTTTCTTCCCAGTACGAGACCCCCCTGTGTTGAGGATCTGCACCAACAAGCCAAGCTCAACCTCAAATCAGTGCTGAGGGGTAAGACAGCCATCTCTCTGGGCTTGTTTGGTTTTAATTACTAATTGTTAAGAGCTGACAGCATCAATTTAATCACTATCTGTAAAAGAAGAGGTGTGGACATTGAATGTTCCCATAAATACAACCTTACATATCGCTAAAAACTTCTGGTTCCCGGAAGACCCCGTTTTTGTTTGTTTGTTTGTTTGTTTTTGTTGTTGTTGTTTTTGGTTTGTTTGTTTGTTTGTTTACTGACTTGCACATTTGCCTTCCAAGAACCTTGCGCTGCTTAGAAACCCCTGTGAATGTCCGAACCACCAGCATTAATCTAATCCAATTAGATTGGGGGTTGCCACTGTTATATGTATTGAAAGCAAATTTGCTAAAGCTGGTGCTCTTGAATGGTTTGTTCTGTTTTGTTAAGTTAGAGAGCGGGGTGGGGGCGTTCTATGTCGACTTGGATGCGATGGTAAATAGTTGAGGTCTTAGAGCTTGGGTGATGCCCAGCAGGGCTCCTCTGACCATAGATTCTATTGGCAGTGGCTGCTAGGAGGTAGAAGAGGCGTGAATTCCTACAGCTAGTACAGGACTCTGACTTTACCTGATTGTTAAAAACATCATGGGAGTAGGGAAAGGGTCTTTGCAAAGATGGTAAAGTGGGAGGCTGGGGGATTCTTCCAAGGAAAAGGATCCACTTGGAAAATAGAGTCTTTGTAATAAAACAACACACCGATGTTCTTACCCTATGGCATACTGTTCCTATCAGATCTCTCTTTTCATGCGACATTTGGGACATAAAAAAACCAAAGAAGTATTTGTGGTTTACTTGAAATTTAACGCAACTGGGCATTGTTTTTATTTCCCACTGTGGAAGACCTGAGTCTTGAACAGTTTTGTCATTGACTCTGAGAGAAAGCACTGTGAGGAACCTCTGGCTTTATGAGAATTTTTCCTGATGTATCAGTCATTTACTAAATGATTTATTATTTAATGTTTTCACACAGTGATACTAGCGCATGCCTATTAAACTGTTTATTGCAATGCCAGGAGCCAGTCTAAGCTCTCATGCAGTCCTCAGAGTTACCCTCTACAGCTACTCTCCCTGCACCGAGACGAAGAATCATTCACCGAGGGAAACTCGCCTGTCACGTCCAAGTTAGTTGCAACAACCAAGCCTGAAACGAGGACCCCCCTGAGGCCGTGCAGCTCATATTTAATAGCTGTTTATTGGGAATCACTTGTTCTGAAGGGAGTGTGGAGTATGAAGGCAGAACCCTAGCTGTCCTGAATCGATAGTTTGTAGCACAAATCACACCATGAAAAATATCCGGGAGCTATGCCAAAAACTGCATATCATCTATCATCTGTCTGTCTGTCTGTCTGTCTGTCTGCCTGCCTGCCTATCTACCTACCTACCTACGTCTATACATATATGTGCCATGGTAAATGTGTGCATGTCAGAGGGCAGCTTCCTAATTTGTGGGCGTCAGTTCTTCCTTTCACCATATATGTCCGAGGGATCAAACTCAGGTCCTTAGGTTTAGTGACAAGCACCTTTCCCTGCTGAACCATCTTGCCACCCTCTTGTCCTTTAATTTTCATAATGCAATAGCTTGTCTTAAGTTCCTCAGAGTATTTTGTTTTAGACTCTAAAACTTAGGGCACTATCAGGTTCTCTTTTTCATTAAGCCAGAGGAACTGACATGTTTAACGACTGCGCGCTTTAAGGAGAAGAACAGCATTTGTTTTGTTCATTCACATGGCCTTAGAGTTGTACCCTGGGCTTCCTCACCTTCCTGACACTGATTGCTTAGTGTCCTGAAATCCAGCCACAGTCAAGGACCATTCAGTCCCCGGTGCTTCATCTTTAGTCAGTTTCAGCAGGCAGCATCTCTACTCACACAACTGTCCTCCCTCCTCCAGATAATTATTGAGAAGGTGGCATGGTTCCCAGGACAAATCCTTGAGGCTGTGCCTCGCTCACGTGGCTCTGCCCAGCTCCTGAGCAGTCAAGCAATTGCATGGGCTGGCTTGTAGAAAGCTCCCCTGCGAAGGTATGCGTGAGTCTGAATATTCAGACCCACCTGTGTTTTGATCACGGTCCAGGAAATTGTGCCTCATTATTGAGTTCATGTATTTTCAAGTCCCACATCAGATCTGTCCTTCCCTTAGAAGACTGAGCGTCTGTCCGTGGGTTCTTCAGTACCCCACAGGAGATGTCACCACTGCCACTTTCCCCAAAACTTGAATTTTATTTTGAAAAGGTAATTTCAAGATAGTTTTTGTCATTGTCTCAATGCCCTTAACGGTTTCATCAAAGAGATGTTCTAGTCACAAAATGAATTACTTTGGGAAAATTCTTGGTCTACACCTTTTAAAGTCTGGATTTTCAGACTCCCTTTTTGAGGTTTTAAATATGACTTTGTTAACGCCTCATGGATAGGGTGACATGAGGAAGACCTCCCGAGTTCTTTTCTGTCCATTATGTTCTTCTGATCACTTTTGATCCACCCAGAACTTCGTGTCCCATTCCCCCCACATCATCTCAGCAAACAGAGAGAAATACAAAAAGTGTATCCATTGTCTCCACACCTGTGAAGATTCAGTGTTGGGGGAAAACCCTAGAGTGAAGATTCAGGGTGGAGGGAACCCTAGAGTGATGATTCAGGGTGGGGAGAACCCTAGAGTGAAGATTCAGGGTGGGGGGAACCCTAGAGTGAAGATTCAGGGTAAAAGGTAAGAGTAGGTAGGTAGGTAGTGATGTCCCCAAGTATCTCCACATGTGCATACCGTTAAAGACTTGACATTGTGTGAGTTATGAGTTTAAGTTAATTCTCCCTGAACATTTTTTGCTGAAAGATTTATAAAAGTAATTAATTTATCTGTAGTGTACAATCTATTTTGCTCTTCCTCCTAATCTCACAGTGGCCTTGTCTTTAATCTCAAAGAAGTTCCAACATTGCTTTTTTTTTTTTTTTTTTTTTTTGCGAAATAGACAAGTGCTGTCTTGTCATCACTCAAGTACTCTTATGAATTATTCCACCACTCTTTATAGGAGAGGAAGCTAGGTTTGCCTAGTTTTAAGGACTACAAAGTGCAAATGGAAATGGTCCAGTGAGTACTAATAGAGTAACAAATAAACGCTAATGTTACTTCTTAAAGTAACAGGGGAGTGTTTAGCAGTCAGTCCAATGACCGAGGAGGCCATGAGTTTACTGGGAAGTGTGCCATGCAAATGTTGGGTTTAAGTTGATGCCAGAGGCAGGTAACAGACACAGTTAATTGGTATGTGAGCATCAATTTTGTACTTACTTGTTTGCTTGCTTGTCTGTTCACTTCTTTTTCTTTTCTTCTCTTCTTTTTTTTTTTTTCCGAGACAGGGTTTCTCAGTGTAGCGTTGGTGCCTTTATTGGAACTCACGCTGTAGACCAGGCTGGCCTCAAACTCACAGAGATCCGCCTGCCTCTGCCTCCCGAGTGCTGGGATTAAAGGCGTGTGCCGCCAGCGCCCGGCATCTTGTTCACTTCTTTATTTAGACAGCATCTTGCTCTGCTATCCGGGCTGTCCTGGTATGTTTACTCCTCCGGGGACAGCCTCTCCGGTGCTGGGGTCAGAAGCCTGTGCCACCATGCCCGGCTCTATGCCAGGAGTTGTAGAGTGAACTGATGGAAGTTCACGGGCCTCCAGCTTCCGGGGCTCAGTTTGCTGTCGTAACTACCCAGGCTGCTGTGGGGGTGAGGTACGGCAGGTGCATAGGGAAATCTGGAAAAGAAAAGCCCCAGGAGACCCCGCTCTCCAGTTCTCCATCACTCTCTCACACCGCAGGGAAGATTGGCATTTCTAGATGTCCACCATGGCACGTGGCATACCTGGAAGCAGGTGATCCCTGTGGTGTTTCACCGTATGCTAAACGTAGCAGAGATCACTTGTATTTATTGTCAGGTTATCTCTGGATAGCTTGATAAAACATCGTGGCCGCATTTTTAGGTCAAATGTTGGTTTTGTTGATGCATTACTAGTGATTTAGGTCATGATTTACTACCCTTGAAGATACATGTGTGGTGGTTTGAAAGAAAATGGCCCCCAAAGGGAGTGACACTATTGGGAGGTGTGGCCTTGTTGGAGCAGGTGTGGTCTTGTTGGAGGAAGTGTGTCACTGCGGGGGTGGGCTTTGAGGTGACTTTTCTTCATTCAGTGTGACAATCAGTCAACTTCTTGTTGCCTGAAAGATATAGACCTCTCAGACACTCCAGCACCACATCTGCCTGCATGCCACCATGCTCCCTGTCACGATGATAATGGACTGAACCTCTGCACTGTGAGTCACCTCAGTTAAATGTTTTGTTTGTAAGAGTTGCCGTGGTCATGGTATCTCTTCACAGCTATAAGAAACCTAAGACAACATGTTACCTAGATTTGAAAATAGGATTTTGCTGTTTGGTTGGTCTTTCTTGGATTCCTTTTTTGATTTACTTATTTTTATGTGTATGAATGTTTTGCCTACATGTATGTATGCGTATCGCACACATGTCTGGTGCCTATGGAGGCCAGGAGAGGGTGTGAGAATCCCTTGAGCTGGAGTTACAGACTGTTGTAAGTCATTACGTGGGTGCTGGGAACAGATCCATGGAGCCATCTTTCCAGCCCCTGGTTGTTTGGTTTATCAAGACATCTCTCTGGCTTACAGAGAAGAGTGAGGTCTTGAAAATGGCTCCATTATCCATGAAGAATTCTCTTAGCATCATCGTACTGAACTTCCAGAAGATTCTGCCCTTGCATCCCCATAACTACGTGAATCTTCATGACATTGTTGGAGACAACTTTGATGAGAGATACCCCTTTTATGACCACATTTTATCTGCACAGCCTTTAGCTTTCTAGAAAGAGTACTAGATGAGTGGGAAGGGGTATTGGAAGCTAGGGATCGGCTCCAAGAGAGGGTCCTGGTTTGTTTCTCTGCAGTTTGCAGACTTCATTTGACAATAATGAGCATATTAAAGACTGAAATGAGGGCATCACGT